TTCTTCTACTATATTTTGTTAAGAAAAACGCGGAAGAAGAAGAAGAAAATTTCTTTCAGTTTTTTTTGTTTTGTCAAAAATGTATAAAAACGAGTTTTTAGGAATTTCAGATCTGCATTTCTTTTTGTCTTCATATGTCTTTCCTACTCGTTTTGTTTTGAATGAAAAAGATGAGAATGAAAAAACGAAAAAAAAAAGAACGAAACTCTAACAATGGAAAAAGCAAAAAAACACAGTCAATGTTTACATTGCTAACAGAAATCAAAAGAACGAAACGAAACGAAAACACTTGACTAGCGATGAAAACTAAATTTATTTTATTGTTTTTTTTTATAGAATATTTGATATTCATAGAATCATGTATTGTCCATAGTACCTAGAAAAAGAAATTATAGGGTGGATGGATGAATGGATAAATGAATGATTTCATTTATAATTATTATTTATGCTCGATTGAAATACTAAAATGAATCTCTCTTATCTCTTTAGACAAAAAAAAATTGACATTTAATCGGTTTTATATTTATATATGTAATCATTGCTCTTTTGTCTTGTCAAGGCTGACATTCTATGATTATCGATAAGATTTTTATATTTAACATTTCAATATTTTTTTTAATTGAAGGATAGTGCAAGAGAAAAGTTTAAGCAAGGATAAGTATATATCCAACATGCAATGTGTGTATTATTTATTACAACGTGCGACATAACATAGTGCATAGAGTAGATGTAATATTTGCTTACCTTGACCACCACTTGTTGTTCGGTAGGAACGTGAATAAGAGTATGATGAAACTCCACCACCACCGCCGCCGCCGCCGCCACCGGCGCTACTTGATGAACTGAATCCACCACCTATTGCTCCGAAACCTCCGCCACTAGCTCCTCCGCCAGCTCCACCACCGCCGCCGCCTCCTCCTCCTCCTCCTCCGCTACCTCCACCAGAGATAGCGAAGTCTGCTCGTGCTTGTTCTTCAACATTTGCAACTATTTGTTTTAAACCTCCTCTATAAAAAAAAAAGAAAGAAACAATGATGAAATTTCGGAAATATTGATTTTAACTCACCTATTTTCTTCTCCTTCAAGTAATTTTCTATAGATTGCAATTTCAGCATCAAGCGTGGATTTTGTAGTAACAAGTTCATCATAATCACGTCCTAATTCTTCAAGACGAGCTCGTAATTCTTGTATTTCTCGATCACGTTCATTTGCTGCTTGAATACCTTCACGTCGTTCTATCTGTACAAGTTCTTCTAATTCTTGAATACGATTTTCTAATTCGCCATTCTAAATTGTAAAACATTTACTAATATTTTTCATTATTCTTTACAACAAAAATATTTACTCTTTGTCGCATAGCCGAAATATCTTTTCTTGAATCGGTAACTATGATTCGTAATTTTTTAACTTCTTCTCGTTCACGAGCACTGTCCGGTCCTCCTTCAATAGCACGACGTGCTTGTATTTCTTGGACCTAATAAGAAAACAAACGATTATATGTCAATCAATCAATCACTTCTCAATATCACTTACAGCTTGTGTAACTTTTATACGATACCATGATTCTAATTCATTACGTTGTTGATTATTAAGTTGTTCATATTCTTCTCGAATATCTCGTATGGCATGTGATAATTCATGTTTAAAAAAATTCGATGGATCTAATGCTGTACCAATTAAATTTGCATGTTTTAATTCTTCAATTTCTTGTGCATGAATTTGTTTTAAGAAATTAATTTCTTCTTCGAGACTTTGTTTTTCATTTTCTAATTGTACGCGTGCTATGGTTTCATGATCTAAATCTTGTGTTACACGTTGAATATCTAAGATAAGCTTTTGAGATTCAGCACGAAAACGTTTTTGCTCATCTTCCAAATCAGCTACAAACGAAAAAAAAGAGTTTATTTTTATTATAGATTTCTAAAAATAGAATGTACCTAAACGACGTCGGAATAGATTGAGATCAGCTTCATTGTCAGCTAATTGTTTTTGTAATGCATCAATTTTTTGTCGATCGGAGTCTCTTCCAGCTAATAATATTTCATATCTAATAAAAATGAGAAAGATTCATCTATGTTGAATATTAAATTATGTTTATATTATATACTTGTCTTTGTATTTTAATGTTTCTTCTTCAGCACGTTTAGCTCGAAGTTCGGCTGTTGCACGATCCTTTGATGTTTCATCGATAATATGACGAGCTTCTCGTATTTCAACTTCATACATTTCTTTAACTTTACCTGTTTCCGAGCCCCATTTACCACTAGAAAATTGATTTTTTATTAATATTATAGTAAAAGAACAAGATCAATTATACACAACTTACCGTAAATGTTCAAGTTCCAATTGAAGTTTTTTATTAAGTGCTTCCAAATATCGTACACGTTCAATGTATGAAGCAAAACGATCATTAAGATGACTTAATTCACGTTTTTCACGGTCACGATTTTCTCTGTGAAAAAAAAATTATTTTATTTTTTATTTATATACTCATGAGAATAACAATGGTTATTTTTTTTTCAATTAAAACCACACCTATCTTATCGCAAGAGAATAATATCCAAAACTAACATTTGACTTCTATTAATTGTTTATGTTTTCCCATGAGTAACTCTTCTAATATAACTATTCCAATACGGGACAATAAAAACATATTTTTCTCCTCATGTCCTTCGAATGATATTACAATGGTATGTGTAATAAGACAAAAAAAAAGACATTCCTTGATAATTATTCGCCATGCATAATCTTAAAGGTTAATTAAAATAACTTATTACGATTAGACTTCTATAAAAAAAACTAATTCTTGAAATTTATATTGTTTTATTCAGTGATTGTTGTTGTCAACACTTAGTATGGCAAGTAGTTGAATAACATTTTTGAACATGTATATACACAGACACATATTGATGTCGGCGGTATCTTACACTATTTTAACATATGGTGTCATGCACAGTTGGACTTTCTCTTCATACTATCCAAGATCAAATTACATCCTTATGTGAAGAAGGCGGGCATCACTACTATTACTGCTCACACTATTCAGCAATCAAGCTAGCTGATTAGAGAACAAACACGCACATATCTCTGATTAATCGATTCATTTATGTAATACTATGATATGATTCGAATAGTGTGCAAGAATAAGAAGAAATCTTTATGAACTTACTGAATTGCTACAACAGCAGCTGATTTACCACCTGGTTTGAGTGGAACACCACCACCAGTACCATAGGAATAGAAACGTTCCATTACCATATTAGTTGATGAAGGTACAACTCGATTTGTTGTAATATTTGTTGAACGCGGAGCAATCTGTGAACGATAATTAGTTGTTGTTTCTTCTTCTTCTATTCGACGTTGTTGAGAAGAAGATGAAGAAGCTTCATTACGTTGATCTCGTTCATCACGATCTCCACCGCGATCATTAACACTACGTCGGTTGTTTGATCCATCACGATCACGATCACGATCCGAATCTCGATTATTACCACGGTTATCCATTGTTTCAAGAACTAGTGGCGAAACTAATGTAATAAGTATAAAATATTCAATTAATGCTTGTTCATGATAAAAAATCATAAATAATTCTACTTGCCTCTCCCTTATTAAAAAATATGTAGCGGAAAGAAAAATTTATAAATAATAGGCTTTAGATGGAAAAGTACGTATACTCCGATCTTTAGAGAAAAAAAATAATATATGAGGACGTCGAAGCAGCTTTTTTTTCGTGGGGTTTCCTCTGGGAAAAGTGTAAGCTTTTTCTTTGTTTCAGACCACAATAACTACCACTATCCACCGAATGAGATCATATGCATGAATCGAGAAAAATAGTAACCAATTTTCCTGGCTCTCCTTTTCTTTCTCTCTTACCGCGCTACACAACACAGACGAGTAATAATAACTCTTTTACGCATTTACATCTTCTCCCTTTCTTTGCTTATGCTACTTGTTACTGTGAACAAAATATGCGAAGCCCATCCTTTGCGGCAATAACTACGGCAAAAGTGGCATTTCCATCTTCTTCTTCTTCTTTCTGTACTTCTCTTCTTCTTGATATAAGAAAGAAAGTGGTTCAAACTTCCCTTATTCGCTTCGATAGTAAAAAAAATAAAAAGAAAAAAAGTTGTGTTTTTTTTTCTTTCATTACTCTTTTTTTTCTCTCTCCCTCTCTCTCTCTTCATAACAAAAAAGAATTGAAGAGATGTGGTAGTTTCATCTGCGATGCATCCTTTCTCTTTTCTCTCTCTATCTTTAGATTGCGTGATGATGTACCACAGTGCGTAAAGATCAGTTGTATTTCTATTTGTATGATGTGCACTAGCCATTACCATTCAATAACAAATAGAGGCAAATTTTATGCAACGATCTGTAATAATAAAATTATTCCTAAATGAATTCGTAGGCGCATCTACGCAGACGGGAAGTAATGAACGGATTATTTTAATATTCAGTTTGAGAAGGAAAAGAAGCAAGAAAAAAAAACGACAAAATACTAATAGAAAAGACCGAGGGACTCACTGACTCTATGCGGTTAGTTAGAGCAAAACCAATTGAATCTCGAATGCTAAATAGGACAACATCGAAGAAAAAAGAAACTTCACAGTGACATATATATGAATAAATGATAAGAATGCATATTTCATTTTACCAAGCAATCACATATACATTGAATGATTTTTTTTTTGTCTATATTAATATTTGGTGATTGAAAGGTTTTCTTCACTCAACGTTGTAAACAAAAGAAAAGATTTCTCATATCAAATATTTCCAATCATATACAATAGAGCAAACCTCTATTGACTTCTAATCGATGACAGAAGATGATGATGATAGATGAATTATTTGTACCTATATATGCAACTATGATAGACAAAACATATTTTCTTACTAACAATTGAGTAAACGAAGAGAAACACCTGCTAGACAATCTCTAACTAATCTTTTGCCTATCTAAATATATAGTTGCCTTCTATTCCAATTGAATACTTAAAACTCGTTATAGCATGCAACTAGATCATTAATAGAAAAGTTCTTATTCTTAGAAAGTTTTTTTTTACATTGTGTATTAATTCCCATATGAATATATTTAAGTAAAAAAGATGACCTCATATAGGAACATATCTATGATGTAATTCATTCTATTATGAAGTCATATATAGAATATTCTAATGTTTATTATTTGCCATACTATTCTTGATAGATCTATTAAAAAAACAAGTCACTCAATTGTATTAAATAAGATATGATTATTAATTTGCATGTATACATATATTAGTTTTTTGTGAAAATCAATAGTCGCATAATAATAAACATAGATGTATATGAAATTATGATTATTTCTTTCCCAAATATATATATATATATATATACAGATTTCCTATAATAATCTTATCATTGACAATTTGAATGACATACCGTAAGACAATATGCTCGATCAATAAATGCTTATGCCAGTCGATCTCTGTCAATAGACGCAAAATAGTTTCGTATTTACTTGTTTACTGCCAGCAGACATAAGACATTTTTTTAATACATTAATGATTGCACTAGTGATAGATACTCTCCCTGAGAGGGGGAAAAACAGCAGGGGTTATTCTTTTTTTGTTTCGTCAAAGATTGACGATTAACGTGTCGAAAGAAAATTCTCTCACCCCTCCCCCCTCCCCCGTAGCCACTATTATCATCATTTTCGCCTTCTTCTATCGTCCTTCTTTTTTTTCTTGTATGGTATATTTTTGTTTGTTCTATCTACACAACGGCAAATAAACATAGTTTTATGTATTCAGATTGACGATGACGACGTCATATACTCAGACTCTTGTCATTCACAATCATCCGTATGGAAGAAAGACAGAACATACATAACAACAATACATGTCATATGAGAAAATACACAACACACATAAGAGTCTCATTAAAAGAAAAAAAATGATTAGAAAATTGTCGTATTTATAACCTAAGATATATTTCATGTTTACAAAACGTCCAAAGAGAATATAAAGACAAAAAGATATTTTCAATCTTTTCTCTTCTCTGTCGGCTATAAATACACATAAAATACTCAGTAACAATTGTCTCATTAGTATTAGAATTTCCTTAGACGATGTCATTTCCTGATTGATAGGAAAACGAAGAAGTGTGCCTATATACTTGATGCATCGTCGTTAACATTCAAGTATGAAAGAATAATAAAACAAAACTACCAATCGGAAGACCCAAATACTAAGCACGTACTTGTATCTAATAAAATCTTCCGATATTAAATGGACATTCCTAAGTACGCATAAATGAAGACACATCATTTTACTAAATAAGCAATAAACATTATATTTTTCTAGACACTCCTTATCTTATTGAATCATCTAGATTCCCGAATTTTATTAATAGTTTGTTGACAAAGTTTTTCCACTTTCTATCTAGACCTTAGAATTCTATTGAAAATTTACGTAAATTACTAATTTTTTTTTCTTTTGTAATATATTTTATTTTAGGAAATTACAGCTATTTCCTGAATGGACAGATTAACATACATATGACTTAACATTTATAACTAACTGAAGAAATTTTCTTTTTATGGTGGTATTTTAATATGAGAGAAAAAAAAAGCGACATACTGTAAGGATTTTATCGCATAATCTATTGAAAATCAATGCGAAAAATAATTATTTACGCTGAATTGAAACTGCTGAAGTATTTCAACTCAATGTCAATAATAACAATATTATTACCCTAAAAAAATAATTGCCACAGGCATTTTTTGCAATAACTCAAGAACAGAATTGATTAAGAACCTAAGATTTTATCAGGAGAGAAAAAAGAAAGAAAATGTTAACAGTATTGACCTATAGAAAAAAATCAATAACACAAACTATAAAAAGTGCGTCATAATTCCAGCTTGACAATGTCATAAAATGCTAAGAGAAACAACATACGTTAACTATTTAAGCTACAATAATGATAGATTTTATCACAAATAAACCGCAACATTTTTTTGTTTACCCAAATAAAAACCTGAAGTCCTTATACATTTCCTTGAGAGATTATAAAATCATCGACTAAAAGTCTTATTAATTTAATTATATCAATGACGTCAATGATATTCGTTTGTAAAAATCAATATATCACATCGTTATCAATCTATCCTGTCATAAAAATAATTACTGTCGAGACTAGTGCTTACACTCATATAGGATAATTTATCTAAACAATAACAGAAACTGGTCTTTTCTATATTTAGAAATCAGATTGATTAATGTGTAAACATTAAAAATCCACTATCATCAATTATTTTTTCAAATTATAAATTTTTTAAATCAAATTTTTTTTTCCTTCACCATTGATTGCAATTTATAATCCCTCACCAAAGCAATTGTGTAATGTGCAAAAAACAAAATTATATATCAGATCGTTCTCTTCTTTCAACAAATATATGTATATATATATATATTGCTAAAAGATAAGCCTGAACACCAAAAACATATATTTTCTTAAACGACATAAAACTTATCTAACTCTTCGTAATAAACACATACAAACACAGAGAGAGAGACAGACATTTAGATTAAAAATGATGAGTATAAGATGTTTTTTTTTTGTTTTGTTTTGATTTAAAATTTCTTTCTTTCTCTTGTTTAATTTGTTGATGTATATTCACGACGGCTTGATGCTTGTGAATATGATGCACCACCACTACCTCCTTGTGCACCACCATAACTACTACTAGAACGACCACCGCCAGTAACTAAACCGCTGATTCCAGCGTTACTGGATCCTGATCCACTGCTGCTAATGAATGTACGGGAAATGGTTGTTGAACGACCACCACCGCCTGAATATGAAATTGAACCAGCAACACCTGAACCACCACCACCAGCAGCTCGTTCAGCTTCCATACGACGAGCTTCTTCAACAACATGATCAACAATTTGTTTAAGACCTTCACGGTTATTTGTTCCTTCAAGTAATTCTCTATATGTATTAATTTCTTTTTCTAATGATGTCTTCATGTTGGTAACTTCTTCATATTCTTTTTGTAATTGTTCTAATTTACGACGTAATTCTTCAATTTCAGAAGCACGTTTTTGGATTACTCGACCACCTATGAAGAAAAAAAAGAATCCATTAGCTTTTAGAAACAAAAAATATTTAAACTATTTTTCATACCTTCATCACGTTCTTGATCGATATGTAATTGAAGTTCTCGAATACGATTATTTAATTCTTCATTTCTTGCTTTCATATGTGCAACTTCATTACGTGTTGTTAATAATGTGGTACGTAATTTTTCTTCTTGTACACGTTGTTGTTCACTTTGAATTGGATCAAGATCTGGTTTTTGATGACGTAAAATAAGTTCATTGTATGACATCATATAACGATTATGTAAATCTGCACGTTGTTGATCATTTAATGCTTCAAATTCATTACGAATATCACGAATTGCTTGAGCTAATTCATTACGGAAGAAGTGTGATGGATCCAAATTAACATCGACAACAGTTTTTGATCGTAATTCATTCAAATCAGCTTCATCTATAAATAACAAAATGGATTTGTTTATTTTTCTCACCTTTTTCTTTCAAAATCTTTCTACTTACGCATTTGTTTAAGCATGGCAAGTTCATCTTCAAGTGCCATTTTTTCAGTGTCAAGTGAGCTCTTAACAAAGGTTTCATTTTGGATTTCATTTTGTAAACGAGCAATTTCTGATGCTAAACGTTGTGTTTCAGCTTTATAACGACGGGCTTCATCTTCAAGATCTCCTAAACGACGTCGAAATAAATTGATTTGAGCTTCATTTTCAGCTATTTGTTGTTGAAGACGATCAATGGCTGATCGATCAGTTTCACGGCTATTTAAAATTTCTTCATAACGTTTACGATAACGACCTTAAAATAAACAAATGAAAAGAATAATAATAAGAAAAAATGGTAATGTTATAAGTTTTCAATAGTTTACCAGCTTCTTTTTCTGCATCTCGAGCTTTAACTTCAGCTGCAGCACGATCACGTGTTGTATCGTCAATAAGTTTTTTTGCTTCGTTCATTTCAACTTCATACATTTCTTTAATTTTAGATGAACCTTGACCTGCTTTATTTTGTAAAGCTTCTAATTCCAATTGTAATTTACGATTTTGTGCTTCGAGAAATCGTACTTTTTCAACATATTGTGCGAATTTGTCATTTAATTGACATAATTCACGTTTTTCTCGTTCACGTGTTTCATTAACTGCAACTAATGCAGATGAACCACGGTTTGGTCGTAATGGAATACCGGAAAAATTTCCAAGACCAGCAATGGATGCTAAACCTGAAATACCAGCACCAAGACCACCTGCATTAAATCCTCCACTACCACCTGTAGTTGAATAGGATTGATACATTCGGGTCATAATTCCTGATGGACCACCTGAACGACGTTGAACATTTGTTGATCGTGGTGTTATTTGTGATTTATATGAACTGTATGAAGACGATCCATTCTTAGTAAATTCATCATCGTATCCTTGCATTTTGCTGTGGTTTATTGTTGTATCGACGAGAAAATCTGAAGCTCAATAGTTTTATGTGATATTCACCGAAAGAAATAAAACGAATGCACACACACAAAAAGAAAAAAAGAAGTAAAATGAATGCAAATATGGGTAGAAATGGCCCTTTTATCGAGCAACTTTTTCTTTTTCTTTTGCGTTCTATGAACTATATGATTCGACGAGAAAGAGGAGGCGAACAAACCACTATCATGCAAATAAGATTTATCTTGTTCGCGCGCTCGCTCTTTCTCTCTCCTCTCGGTCGATCGTAGCTGTTGTCGAGCATATACAGACGTGCAATTATTTTATTTTTCTTCCTTGCTCGCTATTTGGTATCGAAGGAAAGAAAAAAGGAGAGATCAATTCTTTTCTCTTAGTTTTTTTTCTCTACCGACTGTTACTTTATGATTCATTACTGGACTGCATACATACCACAAATAACTCAAAATATAGTTAAGACAGCAACGATGCGAAACGCAGCGGGCAAGACAGTGTATGAGAGAGAAAAAAAAAGAAAGAATTATTGCTTTTTTCTCTCCCAATATATCTGCCCGATATGTCTGTTTCGAGCAAATAAACCTCCGCCCATGCACAATCTAACCTCAATCGACAGATATACATGCATATATCTTGAGTAGACAAAGGATGCACGTAGAGCTATTAACATAAAGCTTTTTCGTTTCGTTTTCTCATATATGTATATATTTAAAAGATTGAATCTCATATCGCATTTACATATACACACACATACGTGAAACTTATACTTCTATACACATATCTCGAATAACAACGTATCATTATTTATACAAAGGGTAGTTTTTTCGATGAAGGGTTTTTTTTCTCTATTCAAATAACGACTACATATAATGATATTGTAAGAAGGTTAATCAAAACTAAAAATATTCAATTCTACAAATATTATTATGTTTATGATCGATAAGGTTGTTATTGTGGTTGTTTTTTGTTGTTGTTGTTATTAGCGATGAGGTGAAACATTGCGTGAAGTCGATGGTGAACGACCACTCAAACCGCCACCTGATGAATAAGATGTTGAATAAGTAACTTCACGTATATTATGAGAATTACTTCCACCAGATGCATTTCTCATCAATCGTAAATTGAGTGAATCGAGTAATGATCGACCACGATTCATGATTTTTTCTGCTTCTTCAGCAAAATGTCGTAAACCAACTTGATTATTTCCACCTTCAAGTAATAAACGATAACGACGTATTTCTTCTTCAAGTGTTGTACGATATTTTTCTAAATCATTTATATAACCTTTAAGACGATCTATTTCATCTCGATAACGTTTTTGCTCATCAATTAAACGTTGATCTTCTTGATAATTTGTTGATTGTATTTGTTGACGTATGTCAGCTATTTGTCTATCAAGATCTTGATTTTCCATTTGTAATGCATTAACTCGACCGCGTATATCAGATACACTACGTGTTATTTCACGAATTTTTTCTGTTTGCCATTGTGATTCAATTGGTTCTTTTGGTTGATGATATTCAATTAATGCACTTACTTTAGCTTGATAATAATTTTGTAATTGTTGTTGTTGTTGATCCGTTATTGTTTCAAATTGTTTACGTATTTCACGTATAGCTGATGTTAATTCACTTTCAAAAAATGGTGCTGGATCAACATTAGCAATAGCAACTTTTGAACGAAGTTGTTCAACATCAAATTTATGTGCTGTATCAAGAGCTTTTAATTCTTGTTCAAGAACAGTTTTTTCTGCCATTAATAATTGTTTTTGTGTTGCTTCATTAGCAATTTCTGATATAAGATTTGCAATATCAGATCGAATACGTTGTAATTCAGCATTATATAGTGCAATTTCATCATCATTATCAGCAATTGTTTTTCGTATTAATTCAATTTTTTTTTCAAGATCAATAATTTTTTCTCGTAATTGTTTTAATTGACCTTTAGCATTATTTATTTGATCTGGTCGTTGTACACTAGCTAAACGTTGTTCAGCTTGTTTAAGACGTGCTTCAGCTTCTTGTCGTTTTCCTTGTCCTGATCGAACATCATCATCCATACGTTTTAATGTATCTTCAGCTTCTTTTTTTTCACGTGTTATTATTTCACGTATTCGTTGTAAACCAATACCTTTCTTATTTCGAATATTATCCAAATCACGACTAAGTTTACGATTAACAGCTTCTAAATATCGAATTTTACCGATATATTCAGCAAATCGATCATTTAATTCAGCTAATTGTCGTTTTTCTTCAGCACGTTGGCTAGTAAATGGAACTAATGCCCATGAACCACCGCCACCACCAACTGCACCACGTAATCCTGAAGCATTACTAGACATCGAATGAGATACACTCATTTTAGATGATACATTTCGATTTCCACCACCTAAGTTTTTTACAGGTCGAGTTATAATAACTTGTCGTGGTGTAATAGCTGACATATAACCGACAGAAGTACCAACTGACCCATATGTATCATATGTTGTATTTGAACGTGGATCAGTAGTATACATTTCTTCGCGTTGTATATCATAGATAGTTGGCATCTCGTAGTTTACAGAAAAAAAACGTAATATCTCGAATCGTATATAGGTAGACTTATGTGACTAATATAACATAGAAGAATAAGTACTGATGTGCCCTCTTTATATATGACACAGAAAAAAAAGTCACGAAAGGGTATGTGTGTGTATATGTAACAGACTGATCTATTTAGTTTCTCATTAGAACATACAAATTGAAAATTAATCACACATTACACATTCTTGCGGTTTCTTTTAAAAAAAAGTGATATTCTATAGTTCTATAAAAAGCTATAATACAAACACCAAAAGCTCCCACTACTACCCATAAATGTACCCATGCAATATTCAAGGCCCACAAATCAATAAAAATTGTATAGAACAAAAAGAAAATGTATTTTATTATCCTACCTGATTCAACTATTGATAATGGCCAAGATAGAGAACTTGACTGTAATGACACCGGTTCAGAAGCTATAAAAAGAATATTATCAAAATCATTATATGCCGTCGATGTGAATTAACAAATTATTTTATTCCTTATCGCTTGAGTATTATACAACGATAACTTCAACTCATAGAATTTACCAGTGTCTTATTTCCGTATGTCGAAATTAACTCAAAAAATATCTCGCGAATAATCCGACATTGATAGTCTTATTTTAGGGCTAAAAGGTCATATATTATATATCGCGGAGAATATGATATAAAGCGAGCAAAATCAAAAATGAACAATTTAAAAAAAATAAAAAATCCAATTTTTATTTACTTGGTACAATTGGAATGGTTACTGATTTGAGAACTGTGATTTGTACATTGTCATACGCATTTTTCCATAGAGAATGTAATAATAATTGACATTGTTCATATGTTTGAAATGTTTTTGTATCATTTATACTTATTATTTCATCTCCAATATTTAAATGTGGACAATAATTTCCATTAATAATGGATGAAACTTTTATTTTTCCATCAACAGTTTCTTTCAAATCAAAACCATATTTTCCAATATAATCTTCTTGTCTTGTAGCTTTTATTGTTGAATAGACATTATCGAAATCAATTATTTTTGATTTTACTTCATCAGGTTTGTCAATAATACGTTCAATAGTTGTAATTAATTCTTCACTTGTTGTATCACTTACTGGTGATACATTTTGTTCTCGTTGTTCATGTACTTGTCTTTCAAATTCATTTATTTCATTATCAATTTGTTTAGCTGTTGTTTGATATTGTTCATAATTTGTTGAATAACGATGACATAATTCTTCGAATTTTTCAACAATATCATCTGTTTGAGGATCAGTAGTTGTTCGACGATAACCATATTCTTCATAAATTTCCTCATCATACAATGGTGGTGGATGTGTGATAGTAAATTCAATTTTATCTTGATTTTGATGAAATTGATGATAATTTGAACTTGTTAAAAGAGAATCACTAACTATTTGAGATAGATTACCTACAGGTGGTCGAGTACGATTTGGTGATTGTATGGGTGGGTTTATTTCGTAAATCATAGTTTCTAACGTATGAGTATTACCTATTGATTCATTGGTATAGTTTCCAAGATTTAAAGGCATAAGATTATTAATTGAATCTTGTAAAATTTCATATACCATTGTCTCATCTATTGTTTCATCAATCGGATTTTCAAAATTTGAAGACATAAATTCGTTAGATGAATCTTGTAAAATATCATAAACGATTATTTCATCTCTTGTTTCGTCAGCAGGATTTTCAAGATTCGAAGAAATAAATTCATTATTTGTTTCTTGTAAGATTTCATATTCTATAATATCATCATTTGATTCATCGATATATTCTTGAGATTCTTCAACAGGAAAATTATTATGGAATTTAAAAGCTGATTTCATTTCGTTGTCTTCTTGATATCTAGATGCTATATTTTCGTAAACATGTGTATCGAAATTATTTGTATCTGTTAATGATTCATCGTAGGTAAGTTCTGGTAGTTCTTCTGAATATACATCGAAGTTGTATCGATCGCTTGATTTCATTATTGTTGGTGTTTGATATCTATCGGCAAATGCATTAGGATCAGTATCAGCTATTGATTCTTCTGGAAAAACTTCCGAATCAACTTGATCAGTAAAGTCAGTTTCCAAATTATCAATAGCAGCAGCTTGTTCATCAACAAATTTTGGTGATTCTTGTGAAAAAACTTGCGAATTTGATTGATCAACTGATTCCATGTATATTGGTTTTTGAATTCTATCAGCTAAAGCTTCTTGAACAATTGTACCATAATTATCATTAGCCGTAGGTGATTCATCAATGAATTTTGGTAATTCTTCTGGAAAAACATCATAATTAAATGAATCTGGTGTTTTCATTTTTATTGGTTTCTGAAATCTAGCTGCTAAAGTTTCATAAATAATATTTCCCAAATT